ATCATCAACCATTTATTGTAACTAATACAAAATAAAAAGTATTGGTTCTGTCAAGCAGCTCCCAGATAACCGGAATTAAATATATCCCTGTGTTACAAATTTGTTAGACGGTTCATTCGGTAGATTCATATCTGAAAATGGCTCTAGGGAGGCTTCAACTGCGACCTTCGAAGGTGACCGTTCTCGCGAAACTAGAAAAGCACAATGCAAAATCAGTTGGAGGGATGCATCTACCTGATGACAGAAGAGGGTGTGACTCTGGCAATGATTTGCATGTGTCAATACTGTAGTACAGTATGTAGATAGGGCCTAACGCTAGACTGCCGTGATGTGATACTCTAACGCGGTACTATTTTCTTTCGTACATTTCCAACCCGCAAAAATTGTACAGTACATTGTACAAAATGTTATACTAAAAGTCAAAACATGAGGCGTGCCTAAACGTCCAGCAAGGACTTCAGTAAAGTGTTCTGATTTTCTGTTACGAGCTGTTTCTCTGCTGAGTCATTCGGCCTCCCGCTGTTCGCCCTCCCGCTGTTCGCCCTCCCTTTTCCACTCCCCTTTTCAACGGTATTATTGCTCTACGTCGCCACGCGTGACACGACGAATATCCGTCCATCATACATGTTGTATGTTTATTGAAATACTCCAGATGATCTAAGAGGTATACATTATGGACAACGCCATTCGTAAAAGTAGTTGCCACAGAATGATGTTCCCTGACGTTGCTGTCTATGAAGAAACATTGCTTGAAAAACTGATGCTCAGTCTTTTATGAAAACGAATAAAGCGACTCTCTCCAGCTGTTCCTCAAACATTGGCGTTTGAGTGAGGCAGAGCAGTATCCCGGAGATGAAACCAAAATCTCCTGTGCTGCAAAGTTGCATGTGATGGTCTCCCCAACAGCAGTATACATGCCCAGTCATGCCCAATGTAGCATAGAAGGACAATGGTTTGTGGCTTTCACCAGAGTTGTGGAAATGCTTTTGGGTCGCCTCACGATAGATAAGGAAATGAATGTAGGATTTGCAATCAGTGTCATTGGATTCTGGGGGTGAAGAGGCAGAGATGCGAATCAAGTGGGAATTCCCGTCAATGGTGTGTAGAGGAGAGATGAGATGAGGAGGGCACACAAGGGTTACAACAAGTAGGGTGAAAGCGAAAACGAAAAACAGTCAGAAAGAAAGGAGGAAGTGAGAAATGACTCATCTGATTCCGCGCAAAACTGACTGCGACGGATCATCGAGTGGTGCCAAAAAGCATCATGGAATTGGTGTTGATTGGGGCTGGCGTGTCTGACATGTGGGCTCAAGCTCTGTGGACAACTAGCCATATAACAACAGCGACAGTCCCATGTCTGAGGCGGAGTGGAGTGTCCCAAGCGAGTGGGGAGTGAAGGACTGTGTGCGATCTGGGGCCTAAGTCTGAGATGAAAGCCCTCCACAGTTGCACCCAGCCTTAACTCATATCAACCCTCTTGAGTATCTTCCGCGGCAGGATTTATTGGCTCGTATTAATAGCTCCCTTAAACGCAAACGCTGTGGAGTCGCTCTTGATATGCTCTGTAGGAAGTCTGGTGTGTACAATGTGCAGCAAGTGTGGTGTCCACACACCCTCCTACCTCTTCCTGTTTGCGCTCCGCTCTTGTGAATAGGTGATCTGATCTGAGGACCGGCGGTACGTTTTTTTGGAGTGGCTGTGATGGCAATGATGTGGTGCCAACCCAAGCACACCCCCGCGGGACTAAAGATTTGATGGTCCATGAGAATTGCGCAGACTCTCAAGTTACAATTTCGTAACATTGCGATGAAGGGTATGTGCGATTCAACAAAGATCCGTAGCTGTCAGAGTCGCTGTGAGTCGGGAACGGACCAATGGAACCAGTGCTGAAAGTTACCATTGCTCCACTCCTCACAATAAGGGAAACCCCTTAGCTGGGAGAGTAGGTGTTTCTCAAATAGCATTTTCTGTACTCGGTGGGAAGGGAGGCAAGGAAAGAGACGGGATTTGGGTATCTACCCGATACTAGATAAAGGTGACAAGGCCAATCAGTTTTTCGATTGCGTGTCAAGGCTGGCAAAATAGAATGCAGGCTTGTGGTTTATGGATCCCAGAGCGAGAATCAAGAGCAAATACAAGACGGGAATGACATCAATGGAGATAGGGTTGGATGTTTTTCGACTCAGATTCGGTGCTGCTGGTACGTGAACGGAGAAAACTTTTTTCTTTTGTAGCACTCCGACTGAGAGGAAGCTATGGCGGAAAAGGATTCAGTGCATAAGTAAAGAATTATTTGAAATTGCTGGGCGTTGGAATTGGTAGCTTTTCCTTCACAGAATGCAGTGAAGGGGGTTAGTGACAAGTTTGCGTGATGCTTCTTAGAAGCAAATGTGAGTGTTTGAGAAATGGATGAAAGCACAAACTTGTCAGATCTGATGTTCATAGCAAAGGAAAACTTCTCGAAGCAGAGACTGCACGACACAGGTACATGATGTGGAGGAGGGTGTATTTATTTCCACACCATGCTGGTGGGAACGATTCTTGAGAAGCGAAGAAGTCGCATATGCTGATTTTCCTGTCCTCAGAACTATCTTTGGGGTACAAAAAACTTATTTCAGATTATTCATACGACACCTTCGTGCGGAAGAAAAGAGGTTAAAAGAATATTGGCCGTGTGAATGGCGAAAATCGAACAAGTCTCCTCCGCCAAAAAAGAAGAAGCTGAGAGCGCTGAGGGTGTATAATTTATCGAAAGGAATTCCATGGCATGACAACTTGTGAGGCGTGAAAGGGCGGCAGAGGTGAGGGTGGAGGGAAGAGGGAGGAATTGCGCGTGTGGCCTCTTGCGATGATGATGGTGGTAGGTTTAGGTGTCCGGTGACTCGAGGTTAGTATCGAGTTTTTGAATGACAGTGGGAATATCGCGATACTGTACAGACAATAGTCTCGGCAAGAGCCGAGAAGGTTTTTGGTTTAAGACGTCAGCATGATCAAAGGAGGTTTTGAGATTGTTCTTTTTTGGTTGGGTTGTCTGTGCTCCTTGTTGGCTCCGTGATGTGTAATGCGGTTGCCATGATGTTTTTGTGGTAAGCAAAGGGTACCAGTCGACTTTTGACAAGCCCTTGCAAGAGCTGCAATCTAATGACGGTATCTTCGCTCAACGACAAAGCATCTCTGTGGAGGCGCCGATGCAAGAACCCGGATGCAAGAGACAAGCGATTTCTCTGTTGACAACAATTACAGTACCACTCTGATCGTTATGCTGTAAGTACTGTACACACGTTTACACGTGTACACAAGAAAAAGCACTTGGATCGAGATTAGATAAGCTTCGTTTGATCGGGATGTGCGAAACGAATTTTGGATCTCTCTCAGTTTCATACCAGGTTTCATACCAGGTTTCATACCAGGTTTCATACCAGGACAAGGGCCGCAGCTCTCGTCCGCAGAACGAGGAGTCATCGGTTCGGCACGCATCCACCTCAATGTCCCCTCCTCCCCAAACCAACATTGCCATCGCATTTCTCCACAACTTGACCTCGTCTGACTCTGACAAGCTCGTTTGTCAACTGACCGTTTCATGCTTTCCTCGACAACGCCCGCTAATTCTTCTCTTGTCCCACCGCAGCAGCACGCCCGCCGGTCCCCACCTTCATCTCATTCAACGATGACCCCTTTGACAAGCAGTATAAACTACCGTTCCGATCGAACAGCTTTCCTTCTTCCTCATCCATTCCCCTCACCGCACCCGGCACGTCCATCCTCCCTCTCCACTTTCACCTCCAGTTCGCATTTCTCATCCCCGCCTCGTCGCCGCCGTACCAGACCCATTATTACCTCCACCGCCGCCCCCCCTACCCCCAGTGCGTCCTCCTCCACTCCCTCCGACCCCTCCTCCGACCCCGCCTCATCCTCTGATCCCTTCGAATCCTTTTCCAAGAATCTCAAGGCCTCCATTGATAACTCCTTCAATATCCTCCTCTCCCCATTCCTGGACTCCTGCTCTGTCCTCCAGCGTCGCTGGACTTTTGTCGGTGGTAACCATATCCTCCGCCCTGCCTCTTCCACTACCCCACGAGCCGTCCTCCATTTTCTCGGTGGCGCTTTCTTCGCCGCCGCGCCCCACATTGTCTACCGCACTTTTCTTGAACGCCTCTGCAACCGCGGCTATGTTATCGTCGCCACGCCATTTGAGATAGGATTTGACTATCTCTCCATCGCAGCTGACATCGCAGACCGATGGGAGCGAGTCGAGACTGACCTCGCACTAGATTATGGCCCCTTGCCGGTCATCGGTCTAGGGCATTCTGCAGGCTGCGTCTTCCACGCCCTCTCCTCGTCCCTCTTCGATGAAGAGGCGCCGAAAGCTGCAAATATTCTCGTCTCTTTTAATAATCGAAAGGCCGAAGATGCTATCCCCATGTACAAGCAGCTCGTCATCCCCACAGCGGCTGGCGCTGTAAGCTTGAGCGATGCCTTGCCAGAAGATTTGCGAACCGCCTTTCGCGAGTTCCCCATGAACGTGGACGCAGCGGTGGAGGGTTTTTTTTTCACGCCACAGCGCATGCGCGAAAATGTCCTTCCTACGGTTAAAGAGTCAAGGAAACTTGTCGAACAAGTGTGGCCCCTTCTCGAGGAGCTTGTCGGACGCGGCCCGAGGGTTGAGGAGTCTGCTAAATCGGACGAGACTGCCGAGGAAACAACTGGCTCCGCTCCTTCGACGGAGGTGAAGGAATTCTATCCAAGCCCAGAAGAGGTTGAGAAGTCAATTTCCAGCTTGTACGCGGTTGAAAATACCCTTGTCGTACAGTTTCGAGACGATACATTAGATGATTCGGAAGCTGTGGCAAGTGCTTTGCGGGGCAAGGGAGCGCCCCATGACATCAGCATGGTGACGATAGATGGGAGCCATCTGACGCCTCTTGCCCAAGACCTCCCTGATTTTGTGAGTCCGCCTATGTCTAGTGAGAGTATGAGGGAAGGAAGGGAACCTGGGTTGTTTAGTGTGCTTGGGGCTGCAGCTCAGGAGAGTGTGAACGCACTTGGGCTGAGGGAATTAACAGCGTTGGAGGCTGTGATTGATGAGTGGATTCGCAAAGGCATTGAGGAAGACCAATTTTGATTTGCGCCTGAATCGACATTTGGAGACTTAACCGGTTTTGTGTGAGAGAAGGTCGCCGGCTGCTAATCGACTTCTCTTGCTCGCTCTTAGGAGCGCCCAATAGCATAAAAAAGCTAATAGCGTTTCTTTTTTTGTTTTTGTTTTTGTATTGTACATAAAGAGCTGAATGCTTGAGCGCTTGGTCTTTGATAGATGTATAATGCGACGAGTTGCGGCGCAATACGAAGAAGTTGCTAATCTTGGTCGATGTCGCGGTCATCTGAGGTCAAGTTCTCGGGGGAGGAGCCCAAAAGGTTTCATCGGTGGCGTGTGCCAGCAAGGGCCAATCCACGACCCAAGTATGACAGAGGTCCCTACAAGTGTTCAACGCGAACTACAAGTTCCCAGGACACTGGCCGCACCACTTCACGAGGCTACCCCTTCCGTTCCCCTCCCCCTTTCCCCCTCGCCGCCACCATCTCCCATCTCGCCCTCTTCTTCTCTTTCCTTCCTAGCCCATCTCCTGACATGCGACCATCCCACGCATCCCGGGCGCACTAGCAAGCGGGCAATGGCAGCCTCCGCAGCTCCGCCTCCCCTTCACTCCGGCCTGGACTACCTCGTAGTCCTCGACCTCGAGGCCATCTGTGACGACCCCGCCGACTCCTACCATCACGAAATAGTCGAGCTCCCCTGGCTCGTCTTCGACCTGGCTACAAACACCCCGCGCGATCACAAGCAAATCTTCATTGCCCCGCTATGGAATGCAAACCCCAATCCCCCACCCGATGCTGTGCGCGGCTTGGGGACCGACGTCGTCTTTGCTGACTCGCTCGCAGACGCTATCCTTCACTTTGACACCTACATTTACCAAAGCTTCGTCGTTGCCGGGAAGAGCTTCTACCTTCTCACAGATGGCCCGTGGGACCTCAAAGACCTGCTCTTTGTTGAAGCGGCGCGCAAAGCCGTCATCCTTGCGCCCTACTTCCGCACCTATATCAACCTTCGAGCCGATTTTCAGCGTTGTTTTCCCGCCGCCCCTCCCCCGACAGACCGCAAGACCATGTTCAGCTATCTCAATATTTCTACGGAGCCGCGTGCCTCGGGTCTCGAGGAGTGCGCAGCTCTCGCCTCAGTTGTCCAGTGTCTCTTGCAAGCGGGGCATGTCTTCTCTCAGCCAGAGTTTGTTTCCGACTACGAATGGTCCACTATTCCGAACCGCATTCCTGCAGTGGCCACACCGCTCGCCTCAGCTGTTCCTGTGGGAGGTATCATCAGACTGCGCGGCTTGCCTTGGACCTGCATCGAACAAGACATCGTCGAATTCCTCCACGGAATTGCCATAGTTCCAGCGGGCATCCACTTTGTCAGGAATGCACACGGCAAAGCTACAGGAGAGGCGTTCGTCCAGTTGGACAGCGCAAAGGGAGTCAGTTTAGCACTCTCCAGACATAAAGAGATGATGGGCAGGCGTTACATTGAAGTATTTAAGTCGTCTCCAGTGGATATGTCCAACCATCTAGGTCGTGCAGATGCGCGGCGATATATGAATGCTGCGCACATCCACTCGAATAAGGGACTTCCCAGTACATCTGTGATGGGTCAGACGCCGACTCAAGCGTACTCGAGCACCGCGTCTCAGTCGTCACAAGTGTCTGTGGGGAGCTCCGGTGTAGATTATGGCCCGATGTCTTCCTTTCCTCCGAACGCTACCATTGGGATGATGCCGTCCTCAAATGTCGCGAGCCACAACTTCAGCAGCGGAAGCTCTTCGCTTCTTTCTCATCCACATGGAGTTTCCTCCCGGACAGTACTTGATCCAGCATCGACCATTCCCCTGAATCATTCAAGTGTTATCCCTGCGGCCGCGATTGGCTCTTCTTATATCGTTAAAGTTGTAGGACTGCCGAAAAACACGGGGGCGGATGATTTGCTCCCGCTGTTTGATGACTTGGAAATCGTGGGTACAGGTATTCACATTGTTACTCGTGGTACGAATGAGATCGAATGTACAGGTGAGGCATACGTCGAGTTAACGTCCGAAGCGTGGGCGAAGAAAGCGATCACGAGGAGCGGGGCCACTGTAATAGCTGCGACGGGGATCAATCCTGGAAGCCCAATCCCGACGGGGCCAGTTGAAATTCGAAGATCGTCCACTGCGCAGTTGCGGGCGGCCTTAGCGCCCCAGGCTTCAGCCGAGGAAAAAGTTCACGAAAAGCAAAAGGACCGAGGTAAGAGAAACGGAACCGGCCCGAAAGGTACGAAAGGTCACAAAGGGAGTCCGGTAGGCACAAGATATTTTCTTCGAATTCGGATCATTGATGACAAGATGAGAACGGAGGATGTCAGGAAGCTCTTTGAATCATTCGGCACCGGAGACGATGATGTGAAGTTTATCAAAAGTTCTACTGGCAATGGGAATTTGCCCAGTGGTGAAAAGATGCAAAGCAAGGGACGGGTGGCGCGAGTCACATTTCGTTCAAAAGAGGCCAGAGACACGGCGATGTTTTCGATCGAAAAAGGGGCTCTGGGAGGGCAACAAGTTTATCTAGAAGACGGTGGTAATGATTCCCGAAGCCATAAGCCAGCTATTGAAAAATCTTCTGGAGGCGCTGCGGATGGGTCCGTAGAGGGAGGCGATCGGGTAGTTCGCATGCGCGGTTTACCTTACACTTCGACCGACGAGGATATTGTACAATTTTTTGATGGGTATACGATAGCCCCGGGGGGTATATCGCGAGGGAAAGACAGACATGGCCGTGCTAGTGGAGAGGCTTGGGTGACCTTCGTGTCGGAGGAGGACGCGAAAAATGTCGTTTCGACTTTGGACAAAGCTCATATGGGGAGCCGATATATCGAGCTGAAGTTTTAAGAAAAGTACGCGTAAAAGACAGCGGGGAGTGTGCTCCTATAACTCCTCCCTGCTTAGTTCATCGTGTGGGGGAGAATCGGGGGATATCGAATTAGACGCAATACCGTAGACTATTAAAGAGGGAAACATTATCCGAAAGCGTAGAAATTGGGAACTACAAGAATGCTTTCAAGCAGTACCTCTCATAAAACACTTTAACAAGATTGATTCAAGAGAAAGGCGCGAAACGATTTGACAAAAGTAGTTCAGGAAAAAGGAAATAAGCTGGGGAAGGTCCAGAGAGAGATGACGTAGAAACGTAGCCGCTGTCTCGGAGAAGTACCAAATTGTTATAGGACGGTATGGAGAGCACAAAGAGACCCACCCCTCTTCAAAGGACACGGCAGTAACCAGTGCGACATCCCCAGATAATTAGTTTGTCAAGCTCAGAAATCAGATCGCTTGCGACTTTCCGTGCGATTTCTTTAGCCATGGCAGGCACCCTTCAAAAGAGAAATCGCAAGGGAGCGCTCAGGGACAAAGTTGGTTTACAAGTTAATGGGGGCCTATCGAAATCTGATCCTCTACTGATTGATGATCCTCTACTGTTTGATGCCCGGGAATGTGGAAGCTATTGCCGCATGTCTTGGGAGTCGCGGCTCTGGGACGGCAGAACAAAGATATTGTTCTTCTAACCACATCTTCCCTCGTTTGTATTCATCAACCACAATTCACATTCTCAGGTACACACACATGTTTCGCTAAGCTTCGGATCAGCCGCCTCCCTTCTTGAGCAGCAGTTTGACATTAGGAGCGATCATTCCTATGCAGAATAGAATCGCCTTGTCAAGGGTACAGGCTTTCGAGCCCTTGAGCTTCAGATAATGTCCATCAGATTCGGACAAATACATCGGATATCAAACTTGTTGACTGAGAAGCAGATAGAAAGACCAGACTAGTTAATTAATGAATCATGGGAGAGATCATGCAACACACCGACGTGATGGAAGCCTCCTTTTGCTATACACAGCGCCGGAACAGCGCCGACCTTGACTGTGTTTTCATTCGACCAAGAGATAACGTATCATATCTCGATAAATTCCCCAAGCAAAACCTGAACGACATGGCCATTTTCGTCAGAGATCGGATACAAACAGCCTTTCATGCGCATGTACTTGATCTTGTCCATTCCAACTTCGGCATGACCTTCCCGTTTGACAACATGTTGCCTTCTGCGATAAGAAAACACGTTCGGTTCACCATTCATAACTGATGCCATTCTGGCAGCATGCACAACTGTAAAGCGAAGATGAGCGACATCACTCGAATGGACATGCTCCCACAATAGACTTCCAACCTGGCCACCCATTGCTGTACCACACCTGCTATCAACGTGCCTGTTACCCAAGACATACCCATCCAATTTTGCAACAATTACTCGATAGAGGCTCCCAATGTTGGCGGCTAAGGGTGGCAAAATAGCTCCTTCCTCTCCCTTGCCGCGTTCTTCCTCCGGAGTCGACGGTGACCACATGAGTTTCACAAACATCCCAGCTTCAGCAGCAGTGAGTGAATCTGCTTTCTCTGTTGATCCCAGTGCCTCTCTTTCTGGGAGGCGTGAGGTGGCAGCAATATTTTGGTTGGTCACCTCCTGAAGCATGTTCTTGAGACGCGATATTTCTTGATCCTTTCGTTCGACAGTCTCTTGAAGCTCTTGCCATCTCTTCTTTTGAGCAACACGGAAACGCTTGGCGCTCTCCCTGTTTTGAGCTCGTTTAGCGTCAGGAGTGGTCTTGACTCTACTCGGCCTCGAAGCGAGCTTGGCATCATGGCTCGATGAGCTTGGCTCTCTTTGCTCATAATCGTGATCGACATCCATCATTGCGTCATTTGGGGACACGGCGCGACCAGCAAGTCGCATGGACGTGAGGGCGTGCGAGGCAAAGTCGGTGCTGGAAAATCTCTGAGCTGCGTTCTGAAACAACTCTTTTCGAGCACTGCCATGTAGACTGTGAGTGACGGCTTTTCTACCGTCGGCCGGGATGTAGCTCTCGACGCTATTCGAAGCCGATGTATGCTTGGAAGCGTAGCCCCCAAGTGGATTGGACGACAGTGGACGAAGCACCCCAGGACTCGGAACTGGCGAGACTCTCGGAGCTGGAGAGACGCCTGTCTCTGGAAGTGGTGAGATGCCAGATCCCGGAGGGCGGAGTTGCGGAGTATTTGGGGAAGCAACCTGCCTTTGAGAGTGATGGCGGACGACCGGCGAATGGGGCCGATTAGAATCCCTTACAGACGCAGCAGCAGCGGCAGCAGCGGCGCGAAAGCCTGGTTTTATAGAGAAGCCACTCTTAGTGCGACTGAGTCTCTTAGAAGATCCATGGGCTACACCCAGACTAGCACCCACGGCAGGGCCGCGGGATTGGCGATATGCACGTGCATCGGGTCCCGGAGCGTCCGGAAACTGTTCCTTGTTGACGGTAACGTGCGGTACAGAACGAGTTCGGGAGATGTGATGCGAGATGTCGGTGGCAGGAGCCGGCTGCATGGAAGCTGCGAGATGAGAAAGGGAGAGAAGAGACGATGGCGCTGGTTTGGGATCCGTTGCGGAAGGGAGGAGGAGGTTGGCGATGGAGGCGGAGCGAGGATTGGGGTTGTCTT